TAATAGGGTTATTATAATTTTGTATCAAGACTTATTGAACCTACGTGTTTTTTCTGACATCATGAATGTATATATATACACACACTAAGTTTAATAGAACTACTACTGTGATAATCAAATCGTTTCTTGTGGGTTGGGGGAAAGCCCCCATTGTCCTGGGCTTAGGTTTACTGTCTGTCTTTAATACGTTTACTTCACGCATGATATATTCAGGTTCTCTAGGTATCGTATTCCTAATACTGACCGAGCTATAGATATAGATAGTGAATTACCGACACACGTACTACGTGTTTAGTAACACGTGAGAAAATGTATTTCTGTCTTATTGCACGAAACAGGTGGTATCTGCATCGCTTTATACGTATACTATGCTAGCTGCGGTTGTAAATTTCATGTTGATCACAATCAGTGAATCTAATAAGGAATACGTGGGAACAGTGCTGCTTACCGCCAGGTGTTACTTTTATGACATTTCCCGCTTGCTTGAGTTATTATTAACTACTGTTTCATATTCTAAGTTTTTTAAACGCTTTTGACAACAGGACTGTGCTAATTCTGTTTATAACACATATATACTCTCCTGGTGGCTGAGTAACAAGCTTCGGTGCTTATAACGCTAGAACTTGGGGCTCAATCCCCAGGTAGACTAATTGGCAGGCCCGACAAGGCCAGATGGTTAGAGCGCTCGACTCGCAATCTGAGGGTCGCGGATTCGAATCCCCGTCACACCAAACATGCTCGCCCTTTCAGCCGTGGGGGCATTATAATGTACGGTCAATCCCACTGTTCGTTGGTAAAACAGGAGTCTAAGAGTTGGCGGTAGGTGGTTATGACTAGCTGCCTTCCCTCTAGTCTTACACTGCTAAATTAGGGACGGCTAGCGCAGATAGCCCTCGTGTAGCTGTGCCTAAGTATCCCTAACGGAATCATAGGTTCAACTGGTTAACAGGTAACTTCCATAATTACACACTTGTTTAACTAGATAATAAGTAACTAATGCATAGATAACTTTCATAATTACGCACTTGTTGAAATGTACTAAAGGTAGACAATTACGTTACATAAAGTAAAACATTTCTTTTGTTCTATCTCAAACCTACACAATACACTACCTGCCAATTAGTTTGTTTGTTTTTTGAATTTCGCCCTAACAGAACCACAGCAAGCTTGCTCACAAGATGAAGTAGGCCTAACAGAACCGCAGTAACCTTGTTCACAAGAAGTAGGCCTAAAAGAACCGCAGTAAGCTTGTTCACAACCTACTTTTTCTTGTGAGCAAGCTTATTGTGGTTCTGTTAGGTCCACTTATTCTTGTTAGCAAGCTTGCTGTGGTTCTGTTAGACCTACTTCATCTTGTTAGCAAGCTTGCTGTGGTTCTGTTAGGCCTAATTCTGTCACGGTATGCTATATTCATTAAGCAGCATGAGAATGGGTGCGCCTACTTATAAGTAGTTCTGCCTGATTTCAACAGCTCTACAGGTCACTGTAAGCCGAACAGCTTTTTGAACTCGTGTGTCCATAAGTTCTAGGATCATGTAGGCGTTGTTGACCAGATTCCCTACCAGAAGACAACGTGAGACTGAAGAGGACGCACGATTGTGTCGAAACTGTAATATCTAGACTACTGACAGTTTGTTTCATTTCCTGAGGTTTTTCAATAATTATGCTATCATTCGCATTATACAACCACGCAACATAAGTTATTGTCCTTGGGTGGGACAGCGGTAAGTTTACGGATCTACAACGCTGAACTCCGGGGTTTCATTTGCCACGGAGGACACAGCAGATAACCTAACATAGCCTTGCTCTAAAACAAACAACCATAAGTTATTACGCCAATTCGTGGAAGTTCTTTGGATCGCAATGATACAACAGCTATTAGATCATTAGTGGCATACCACAAATAAATATTTCTGGGTCAAACTTCCCTTTGACTCCCCAAAGTCGATACTTATGTTTGTTTCCCTAAACATACAGTTGAAGTAGAAGTAATCTATATTGTCATTTGATTCTCACGAGTAAGACGGTCATGACCGTGGTTCATGAATACACTCTAAATAAAAACATCCAATATCAGTATATATAGTGAGCCCGATTTTATACAATTCCAGGTTTTCAGCTTCGCATATACGTACAGAAAAACTTCATTTTATTTAAAGATTTAATCTTAGTAATACACCAGAAACATTTCTAGTTCTACGTATTACACCTAGAAGATACATTATCGAAAAAAAAAATGGTTTATTGGAGGAAGGAACTCATTTTGATGTCCAGACTTCTTGGAATGGTGAAGGAAATACTTCACTGTGTAGGTGGGATCCTCCTCAGCTGTTCCTCTTTTCAACCTGTGTATTATAGAATGACATATGAGAACGAGACCCGTGTAACTTTAGTTTCTGAGAAGACCGGGTGAGGGATTTCGAGGGACCGAATTGTGTTTTTCTGTGTTTATTCGTTTGTACCTTTGGCGTCGTTGTTGTTGTTTCTGTATGTTACTTACAGATTAAATTTACGTAAGTTATCTGTAGCTTGTAAGGGGTGGTGTTTTTAGATTAGTTGATCAAACTTGTTACCGGTGGTTTTCCAGATTAATTCCTCAAAGTTAGGCCTATCGTCGCTGAAATTTATAGTCGCTCTTAAAAGTTAGTCTTTATAATATTTTTCCGTGAATGTATTTTATCTTGGCCTCAAAAAGCAACAAAAACACCTTGATCCGTACATTTATGGTCTATAAATATACTATAACAATAAGAAATCTTTATTCTGTAAGATCAGAATAGCTCAAAGTTGGCAGTAGGTGCTGTTTGGTAACCACCTTCCCTCTAGTCCGTCAGTTTAACTCCACAGTGGCTCGTCGATAAGTCTGAAGGTTTATAACGCCATAAACCAGTTTTCGATACCTTTGGTGGGCATAGCACGGATAGCCCATTGCGTAGCTTTGACAACGAAACAACAAAATTATCAGTTCAAAATTAGGGACAGCCATGCATGCATAGATAGCTGTTTGTCTAAGGTTCCGTGAAGATTTTGAAACTAAATAATATATATATATATATATATATCTTATTATGTTCTAAGTTCCGGAACCCGGATGCAGACGTGTCTGTAATTTGTGGTGCTTTGGTTGTGGTTTTCAAATGAAAAAAGGGTAATGATAGAGGTATTAGTTAAAAAAGAGGATTCTTGAAACCAAACCATCGTGATTCAAGAATAGTTGTCACTTGGATCTACGTTGATGACGACACTGTAAGCGCATAATTGTTTTGCTGTTATTCTTATATAAGATTTTAATTAAATTCCTGTAAAAATTACTTGACAACCATTCCAAAATTAACGTTAAAATTTGTAGTTTTAAAATAAATGTTGCTGTTTTTTTTTAGTAAGTTTATTTTTCATAAACTACCCCACCACAAGACAAGGCAATATTTACACGGCTGTTTAAATTTTTTCTTTATCAGCCTGATTTTTTGTCTATTGGCATTGATTACTTGTTATCCCAAAATACCTACAGTTCTAGAATTAGAGGACAGGAAAAACAGAGTATTTATCGTCCCGCAAAACACGTCTAATTATAGAGACAGGGGATAGGAAAAACGGAGTGTTTATCGTCCCCCAGACACCTGTAGAAAGAGATAGAGGATAGGGAAGACGAATTGTTCATAATCCCAAAATAGTTTTTGAAGATATGTCTAACTTGGAACATTTTTTAAAAGTAAATCTGTTTACCCAAACCAGCTGCTGTTTTATGACTTCTGTCAAATATTTTTATTATAATGATTTATCCCGTCTCTGTATGGTTTACAGTAATTGTAACTGATATTGTGTTAATACATTACAGGTTCTCTAGTCATCCAGTCGACACGTTTCTGTGGATTCTCATAACGATTCCTGGACTTGTAACAGCTCCTCTGATGAAACTTTCAACGTACCTTTGAACAGACAAACAAGCCTTCGTGCAGAAATTATAAAGTCATGACAGATTTTTACATATTAATCCATTATTTGACTCTTATCTTAATATGAGAGGGAACGACAAGTCGTAAATCAAAGTCAACAGTTCGTGTCTGGTGATTATAAAACTATTTTTATTTCAAAAAATGGGCAACTATCGAGAGACGTTTTTACAGTGAGGGTGCGAGAGGCATTTATGGTTCTATTTTCGAAGGCAGCTGTAAGATAGCGAATATTTAACTGTCACGTAAAATAATCTCGTAATATAGTGGAGTTTAATTCCTGCTTTGGTCATGCTCGTGAAGGAATATCGGATACCTCTTCCGCTCACAGTCAGCGAGTACCGTGTAGCCCAGTTGTATATGATCGCAGTAAGTAGTACTTTCCAGGATAGACAGTTTGTTAACAAAAGTTACATCTAAGCCTAATAAAGCTACATCTAAGTTTTACTCAGTTTGTTAATAAAAGATACATCTAAGCCTAATAAAGCTACATCTAAGTTTTACTCAGTTTGTTAACAAAAGATACATCTAAGCCTAATAAAGTTACATCTAAGTTTTACTTAGTTTGTTAACAAAAGTTACATCTAAGCCTAATAAAGTTACATCTAAGTTTTACTTAGTTTGTTAACAAAAGTTACATCTAAGATTTACTTAGTTTGTTAACAAAAGATACATCTAAGCCTAATAACGCTACATCTACATTTTACTCAGTTTGTTAACAAAAGTTGCATGTAAGCCTAATAAAGTTACATCTAAGTTTTATTCAGTTTGTTAACAAAAGATACATGTAAGCCTAATAAAGCTACATCTACAGTTTACTCAGTTTGTTAACAAAAGTTACATGAAAGCCTAACAAAGCTACATCTAAGTTTTACTCAGTTTGTTAACGAAAGATACATCTAAGCCTAATAAAGTTACATCTACATTTTACTCAGTTTGTTAACAAAAGTTACATGTAAGCCTAATAAAGTTACATCTAAGTTTTAATTAGTTTGTTAACAAAAGCCCCCTAAGAGAAGACTGTACAGGGGATAATAATTAACTACTAAAAGTAGTGCATACTTGAAGGAAGGGGGGGGGGAGTGAGGTAAACTTTTGACTTTTGTATTTAAGTTGTACAAAAACTATTGGTTATCAGCGATATCAGAAGTATAGTTAACAAATATGACCCTTTTCTTTCGTATAATTTACCATTTTTAATCTTGTTACATTTTTTTCTGAGACGGTGTTACGTTTTATTCATAACTAAACGCAAAAAGCACGACAAAAAAAAACCCATAAAAACAACGAAAACTAAAACAATAGTTGGATTTTCAAGTTATAAGTAAAATACTTTGTTCAGTAGTTGTTTAAAATATTACGGTACATTATTTTATCACGTGTACAGACTCGTGGATTGTTAGATCTGGTATTGGTGGAAAATTGGTTTCGGTACCTGGCAGTGGGCAGAGCACTGATAGCCCGTTGTGTAGCTTTGATACTAATAAAAACCAACCTCCGGTGGGTCAGCGCTGAAATCCGAGGTTCGATTCCCCGCGGTGGGCAGAGCACTGATAGCCCGTTGTGTAGCTTTGATACTAACAAAAACCAACCTCCGGTGGGTCAGCGCTGAAATCCAAGGTTCGATTCCCTGCGGTGGGCAGAGCACTGATAGCCCATCATGTAGCTTTATGCTTAACAACAAACAAACAAAATCTTATAGTAAGTGACCCAATGTTTCGTTGGTTTCTTGTTTCAGCACATATCATGCTTCATATTTCACCATCGTGCTGATTTTTTTCCTGCGTGATCATTTCCTGTAAATCAAGTGCACTACAAACTAGCATTTCCAGCTCAGTACAAGGTAATAATATTGTTCTTCAACTTCAGTTTATCTAATAGTTTTAAATCGCCGATAATGATGTCACTGTTGCTAACAGTTACAACACACACATATACTTTTATCATAGCACGTGGTTAGCCAACCTTTCAACTAACTTTCATGGTCATTTACATTTCCGTGTAAAATTATAACGTTACGTAATTGGGCGTTGTTGTTTTTCGCTGTTATAGTGATAAAAGAAAAAGAAAAAAAACACTATGAAACTGATCAAACTCGTGTCATCAATTTCCTGCATCTTAGAGGAAGCACGTGGTTACGTCATGTCGTTGGTACTGGATACGGAGTGATGCAAAAAGATAGCGGCCCGTTAGCTTGAGAGCTTATAACGGCAAAATTTGGGGTTCGATCCTCAAAGTTGATACAATACAGCTAGCCCATTGTGTTTAACAACCAACAAAAAAAAGTAGCACCCCCCCCCCCCCAATGGACCAGCCGTAAGCTTGAGAGCTTATAACGATAAAATTTGGAGCTCGATCCTCAAAGTGGGCACAAAGAAGAAAAAAGTAGCACCCTCAGTGGATCAGCCATAAGCTTGAGAGTTTATAACGGTAAAATTCAGGGTTCGACCCTCAAAGTGGACACAATACAGCTAAACCCATTGTTGTGCCGCTTTGTGCTTAATAACAAACAAGAAAAAGTCCCATATCACCAAGATACCTCTAACATACCGCCCAGACCATGAGTTTTTAATTATCTAGTACACATTCCGATTAGCTGTTAAAGCATGAATCATGGTGTTTCGAAACGACATTTTCATAACCCCATATAATACAGTGTGTGTACATACTGGGTTTCCTTTGTTAGGTTATTTGTTATTACACAACAAAACCATTCCCGTCGACGTCACTATGTGCGTTATGGGAGGCAGGTTTTGGAAAAGGTTTGTTTGTTTTGAATTTCGCGCAAAGCTACACGAGGGCTATCTGCGCTAGCCGTCCCTAATTTATCAGTGTCAGACTA